TGTTTCAGAGAACTCTCATTGTTTATTTAGAATACTGTTTATTGAACGTTACTAGTTGGTGAGTGAGTATAGTTTTATGCTCTTTGAGCAATATTCCAGCAATAACACAGTAGGGGACACCAGAAATGGGCTTCACACATGCAACCGATGTGATGAAATCGAACCTGGGTCTTCGGGGTGACGAGCGAACGCTTTAACCACTAGGCTACCCTACCGCCCCTGAACATTTATAAACATTCAGGATATGACAATAGTTTCCTTGTAGGCAGAGTATAAATTGATGTTACTTGTTGCTGTTGTAAATTTTACACACCATAGATCATGTCCCACCTGTCATTCATTAAACTAGACAATGTTTCCACTATCCTTATTGCAAGTCTCTGTTGCACCATAGGAGGTACGGTTGTTGTATCAGTTGTTAACATGGCTATAAGGACCCAACCCTGTGTGGTAATATTGTGATATGATTGATATATAGTACCAATATGTTAAATATGATGCCACAGAATTGATATTTACTTTAAGATTAGAGGAGACACACCTGTGTAGCATACCAGACAAGATATTACGCCATTTATAATGACAGCTTTAAAAAAGTTCCTATCTCTGTAATAAACATACTTTGAATAGCTGGCAAACTGCCACAGGCTACGAAACTATTTGAGGTGTAACCTTTGTAACATATATCTAACACAACTTCCTTAACCGTTGGAATGTTTTGTACACTGTCCCACCCTTGACAGTTTTGAAAGTAAGACAAGTATATTACCACAGGTACGGCGCAGTGGCTGTGACATTGAGTGGAGGACTTTGTTCGATACATTGTGATAGTAAACATACTGGGTCAAGTGCACACATGTGTACAATACTTACTACGCTTAAACTGTTGATATTGATAAATATTTTGAAATGGTTTGCTATGCTGCCAAACCTTTTGGTATTTCTGAAGACAAATCTGGGTCATCAAAAGGATCTGGTGTATCAAATTTGAGTTAAATATTGAAATGATCATGGGAGAAACTCTAACTACCAGGACTGTATGGTGAATATTGTTATCTGTTCCACAGTGCACAAGTTGGATAATCTAATAAAGGCTGACATTTACATGGTATCGCTGACAGAGAGACAGGTCCTAATTTGTCACAAGGAAATAGTTTGACAATTTAAATGAGACTAAGACAGAGATTGATTTCAAGAGGTGATCTGTCATTAAAACTGGTTAGTTTTCTGGAAATTTATTAAACACTGTTTACTACCTTAAGCAGCCACAAGGTGACTCAGTGGTCAGAACATTGCTGCTATGAAAACTGTGTGGATAAATACCTGGGTTAGGTATGTCTGATAAAACATGCCAGTCACGAGATAGGGCTGACTCACTGGGGTGCAGCGCATTGTTCTTGTCTTGTTCTGGAGGTGATGGATTGTCTCCTCTTGACTGTTATTTCCACTTGAAATAAATTCAAGACATATCAATCCCTTGGTCACAAGATAACCAGAGAGACTTGAAATGAATCTACTCTCTAAAACACTCATATGCTCATAAAATTAATCCAGTGTTGCAAGTTTTGCTTGATATTAATATTAATTTGCATGTCAGTGAACTAAAGCATAAACATGTCTGTGGACTGACTGGCCACAGGGTCCATGGTATCCAGTGATGTCAGATCCTCCTGATAATGGCCACAGGAGCAGCAGCAACAGCAACAGCTTGGTGTACCCATGTAGATGTAGTCTGTCTCACAGTCCCTGAACCACATTATTTTCCCCACTGCCAAGCTCTCTCTCTGCAGTGCTAAAGCCCTAAATAAAGCAAGTCTAGATTTCTTCAGGTTCAGGCCTCTAAATCTCTGGTCTCCCTAGGGCTCCTTTTCAATATAAACGAGCTTGTTTGTTACTATCAAAATTATATATATTCAGAGACTAAGCCTTAGTCTAATGTAGATGTTACATACTCTTCAACAAATGTAGGCGATAATCAGAAATAACTTTACATTGCCAAAATTGAAAGAGATATAGTTTCTAGTAATAGTTGTATGATATAGACACCATGTGGTTTCTACTGGACATCATGAGCTATGTCAAACCAGACCTTATTTCAGATTTGTTCTTTTGTGAAACAGATTATTGAGGTCTATGAATTACTGGATTACAACTTTAGTAGATCTGCCTGTCTTACAACTAGTGATAGTCTCCGCCAGTGTGCATAAATAATACACAGCATAGGTGCAATACGGACATGTAAAGAAAAATATGTTTGTACCTCAGTAAATTTTGCACAGAAGGTCTCCATATGTTACTGTCTGTAAAACAAAAATCAAGCCTTTTGAAAAATAATATAGCAAGTCTTACTCTCTATTCATTCAGTGTTTATATGACAGAGTAACAATAGTGTGAGTGTCATGTGTTGTGTGTTTCATTGTTGATATATACTGTGCAGCAAGGTTGGTTTGGGGTTTACAACCTGGGTATGACTAACGCACACAAGTGGGGCGTCACAGTCGATTTAACTTTGTATGTCATTGATATGCAAGCAGTTTACCGGACTGTCACTCTGTTCAAGGCAACTCCATGAAATAGCTGAAGTCATTCTTTACACTTTTGAAAGGTGCTTGCATCAAGTTACAAGCACAACACCTTTCTGTCAGACCTGAATTGAGCCAATGGACCATGAAATACCACCAAAGTGGAATCTCAAGCTGGCGCTTCGGCCTTAATCAGGTCACCTTTTTTGTAGGCCACTCACCTGTTATCATGTGACCCATGATGTTTATGGCATTTGTAGATTAACTCTTTGTAAGTCAATGATGCTGTTTTGGTTCTTCTTGTAAGCTGCTTTTGTTGGAGCATGTTGGTTTGCCAGAAAATACAACGCAGTTCATTCCAAACAAAGACAGCTATTGTAACAATATAAAAAATGTACACAAATTGTATTTTTGTTGTATATATGTTTTTGTCAGTCCAAGTTAAACATGAATGGGCAAGTGGTAATGAAGATTTGGTTGTGTTTTAGTGCTGTTTGTTTAACACTATTTAAGTGGACATTCACTTATACTTACAATTTACATCCTATTCACTATATTTGCAAGTTATGTCTGCAGTTTTGCAAAATGTGTATATGTTCAGTTTGGGACTCGAGTAGAAAGCCCAAATTTAGTGAAATACTGCTTGATCTAGTAAGCCCAGCTAATGATGATTGATAAAATTACTGTTTTCAGCTGAAAATTGTATTCAGAGTCTGTATGTTTTGTTGAATATGATATATTTGGGAAGATATGGGCGCCCACCTTCTGAAACTTTTACCATGTATCTTACGGTGACCTGGTGGGAGACTAACTTTGACATATGCTGAATTGGAATGATGGATTCGTCTATGGCTCAATACTTGCTAAATAGCTGGTTTTCAGATTAGGGAATTGGTCTGATTGTTAGTGGCAGTCATCAGCCCAAGCTCAAACACATTGGTTTCGTTTTTCGGTTCCCTTTGTAATTAAGGGTCTTTGCGGATTCGGAATGTTCTGTGGGCCATGTAATTGTTGGCTAGTAGAGTTTGGATGGGTTGTGAAGGTTCATGTGATCAATGCTGCTGTAGACATAGATGCTGTAGACATGCTGATGGATGATACGGCAGCTTGAATTGGACACGGCATGGAGATGGAGAAGTTGTGCCAGTCAGCTACACTTCTGAATGAATCCCAATTCGTTAATGAAGCTATTTATAGAGATTACTTGGTACTTCTTGCGATGGTTTCATATACCAATGTACAGAATCAGTTATTGACATATTATGGTGAATGAGACTTGTTGGAGTTGAGGAACAAATTAAGTGGACAAGCCTACTTTACATTTGCTGATTGTCTGTGCAGGGTCTCATTAACATGCAATGGTGTAGTGAAACCCTGTTAGTCAGGCCTTACATATACCAGGAACCCAGCGGCCTGGGCAATGATGTTGCCAACATTGTTTCTGTAGCATTGATCCAGACGAATTTATTAGAAAGGGACCATCTGAGTGTATGGGATTTCCTGGAGGGATGTGGGGGTGGGAGGTGGTCAAATAAACAGAGAACTCTAGTGATGGCTTTTGCCTCTGTACATTCTAGATATTGTGATGCTGGCGGTGTTAATCATCACGTAATGATTGTTTCCAGTGTCAGAAAATAATATGAGCCCTGATGTCCTTAGGTTATACCTATATTGTGCATATCTGCTGGGATCCCCATAATATTTCAAATTAGGAAAACTAGGGTCCCGAATCTTGTGCTTGTTCAAACACTGGAACAGCTTAAGGCATCATTCTATTTTCCTGTCAGTATCTGTCAGTGATGAACATGGTAATTCAAGTCAATCCCATGCATGATTTCACACTGTTGTTGCATGTTCACAAGTACATTTCTCAAAGTCATCATTACACTATGAACAGAACAGTTCTCTTCGATGGAGATGCTAAGCCCCCTTGCAGGGATTCAAACTCCTGACTTTGTTGTCCGAAGTCAGCGTCTTACCACTGATCTGTTTGGTCCTCTTCATACAAAAGATCTGATGCACAGACCTTTTGATCTCCAGAAGCTCTTTTAATTTTATATACCTCTGCAATGTCAACCTGCTAATGTTAGCCAGCCCTCCAGTTCACAATGTGACTATAGCTCTGAGACTTAGAAAATAAGAATTATGATAGTTGTGGTGCTGAGGTAGATCTGTGAAAAGCAAAATGAAAATATAAACATTCAATGCTCATATGATTCTATACTCATTATGAACATGAAATGTTTCTATAACTTCTGTTTTGATTGCCCTAGTATGTTTTTTGAAAGCTTACACGTCTTTGAAACTTACTTCATCATTGTATGTGGGCAATGGGGTAGCATTGTGGTTTAGGTGTTTGCTCAACCACAGCCTGGGTTTTGATGTATCACCACAATATGATTTGAACATTGCTAAAAGTGTTGGAAAACTCACTCACTTCCCCACTTATAATTTTCCTTCGTTTTGTTGTTTTTTCAGAATACAGCCATGCGATCAGACGAGGAGTTGTCGAATGAAGCGCTGTCCTCAAGTCAGGGGAGTTTTGTATCGCATCTCTTCAAGGGGCTACATCGGTCATCACTAACATGTCCCCACTGTGGGAAGCACAGCAACACGTTTGACCCTTACTTGTGTGTATCACTACCGCTTCCACAGAAATGTCCTCGACCAGTCTTTGTGAATGTTGTGTACTCAGGACAGAAGCAGCTGAAAATAGGACTGCGTATGAATACGTTTGAGTCAGTGAGAGACTTGCGGCACCGGATTTCAAAGGACATTCGGATACCAGCATCAGAGGTTGGTATTCTTGGATATATTTCAGGATGTGAACCCTACACTCATATGCTGCTAAGTTTTGGTAGTGCTATTGAGCTATCTCAATGATGCAATCAATGATGATCATAGTGCTTGTATACTGGTTAAGGGTTGTGACATCATACTCACTCAAAAGCTAAGGAAGTCAAGTCTTATGATGAATGGTTACCATTCTGTCAAAGATTCTATATTGAAATCAGTCTTTAACAACAAATTAAGGTGTTTTACCACTGGTGTTGATGATATAAGCTATATGATGTTGAAGAAGAAACTAATGGTGAGATACAGCTTCAGGTTTGTTAAATTGTCAGAATGACCTTGTTCTGAATACAAATGATTGTAATGAAACATTGTCTGCACAGTTAACTCTGTCTTAATGGAAGGCAGAATCGTGACAGTTGTATGGTAATAGGGCATGCTTGTCAGCCAGTTGAGATGATAAACAGCGTATGTTACAGACCTCACCTTGACCTCCCAGTGCTCATCCATCAAGTGTGCTTCGTTTAAGCCAGGTCAGGTGCAGAAACAAACATTACCAATCCTAAACTAGTCTCAACTGTCAATTAACATGTTTTAATTTCTCGTTAGTGTCTTCATATGTTTTGGTTACGTAAATGGCCTCACTGTTGATGTTGGACATGACCATTGAAGTGGAGGGTGATTGCTTGGTTACATATCTGTTTTAGGACACAATATAGGTTAATCCATTCTAATATTAATTGTAAATCTGAAATTTGAACTAAAACGGGTTCTTTATATATAGACACAAAGGTCAGAGTTACATACATTTATTTTTCAAATGATCTATTGATTTTTCGTGCACTGCTGTTCATCTAGATAATATTTTTAACATTTGAATATCCAATAATTTTGCTATGTATCTTTAATTTGATATTCTATTTCAGTAAATCAGATAATTTTGAAGAAGTAACATAATTGTTATACGAGCTGTTCTGTATGACTGTTAAGATGTACAATTTGTACATGATGTATTAATGGTAATTAGATACAATTAAGTGTTTCATGTGACTAATATTTCTGGGGTTATATAATCTGTTCTTAAACTGGATTGAGCTTGATGTGTTGATATAGGAAATGAACCTAGCCAGGAAAATTCCCAATTGATGTTTCACAACCATATCAAACAAAATATCTGATATCAATGTTGAGGGGAAATATCAATTTGTTTTGCTAAAATTCCTTTTCTCTTGTATATATTAATTTACAGGCTGTTCTTAAACAATAACTCTGCGTATCCAGCCCCAACTCTACTGATACGTACAGCCCAGACTATTCAAGTATTGTTTCCTGAATTTACCTTGTCTTGTGTTTGCTTTGTGGAGGATAACAGTAATCATATCTCAACTTCACTCAAGGTGGAGATTGTACTTGTGTGAGTCACAAGGGAAGTAAGTGATAGTGTTGTCGGAGGGGGTGGAGTTAGGAGGGGATGTGGGTGGGGAAACTTGGTACAGCTGGAGAAGGGGAGATAACTCATGTCTTGACATTACAGCCCATGACTAACCCTCCATGTGTCTATGTCATCCATGAGTGTTGAGGGATTCTCAAGACATCCCTGAAGAATATGTTGCATTTTGTTGTGTTTTTCTTTGGTTTCGTTTCATTTGTATCTCAAAACACACAGGTATGTCAGCAACAGACCATGCAACCAAAAGTTCTTCCTAAATGAAAAAAGCATATGTTTGAAAGATTATTGGGGATTGAATATGAAGGAACTTGTTTGCGTATGTATTTAATGACTTTCTGAACAAACACATATAAGTTTTGCTTCTGATGCACTTGCTACAACTGTTGAATCTTAAGATTAAATAGACGGAATATTTGCACACTGGTGCTTTGAGCTTATTTGGACATTGCAGTGTTTGAAAGTGCGTCTTTGAGGTTTACTGCTATGCCGTTTGATTTTGCATGCCTCCAGCTCTGTAAATGTTTAACACTGAGGTCTTGCATACTCTCTTACACTTGTAGTTAAAAGATAGTTATGTATATTTTCATTCTGAGTGAGAGAGAGCACATTTCTTTCAGTTTACAATTAGTTTTTGCACCAAATACCATCAATTCATGAAGACTTGTTCAGTGGTAGAAGGTCAATAAGCTTGAATAGAGATACAAGCTTCATGGAAGATGATGGAAGGAAAGGACTTTATCATGCATGGAGGCCCATAGGCTGCCTTTAACATTTGCTGTCGTCCACATGTCAGCACCCATGTGGCAAAGTCCAGCCACGATTTTACAGATAACTTGTCTCAATAATGAACAGATATCACATCAGTTTCTGAAAATGTTACCCATCTTAGATACTATGATAATAGTATATTTCTGCAGGAAGGTCATTGGGCCATGTGCAGTTTCACCAAAGACATTTGTGACAGTTTTATATTGCCTTCACATTTTATTTCTAATAGAGATAGTGAGCACAATTAGTGAAAATGTTAATAGGTTACATTTTACATCACCATGATATTTCTTCCATTGAGTTCTTCTCTTGTAGCTGACATTTAATACTTCGTTTCAAAGTTTAACTTTCTGTGGTATTTTCAGCAGTAGGAAATTCTAGATAACAGAGATGTCATGCTGCTTGTGTTTTGTTCTGTAAGGAAAAAGTATGGAAATTTAATCTGTTTGAGCCCAGGGAATGAATGCTCTCACGTGTGATCCAGTCTCATGTGTCGCTTCTATACGCAGGACAGTTATTTCAAAATCTTTAGAGATATAGTTTCAAAGTGAAACAATTCCAGCACTGCTGTAGGCAGACTCGGTATGTTTCAATTAAGGTCGATCAGCTGTTATTTAGTCCTTTTCTCACGTATCCCTCTATGGTTGTTAGTGTAGTAACAGTGAACTCAGATTATTATCAAAATATTGTCTGTGATGTCTGTCTGACTGTAAACTTCAGCCCAGTATTTGACTTGAAGCATGAAGGTCGGGATCCTGGTCCCATTAAACAAAGTGATGGTATGACATAATGTTACGATCACTTCATGAAACAGGATGGATTCTTATCATTGAGCCACCATAGAATGTGGCATAAAACTACACTCACTCACTCATTCTTACCGTTCACCTTAATGTTACCAGATAACAATTTGGGGGGTCCCTTCATTCGGATACCCTGCGAGAAGACCTGGAAGAAACTGGCACTCCCTTGATTTGGAACACTGTTGATCTCTTGTATCAATAATATGGTAATCTCCAAACACTTCAAGCTGTATGCCAGGGGTGTTTAAACTATGTTCAGTATTAACATAAGTTGACTGTGTTAGACTTGTAAAATTCTGTAAGGAGTGGTAACTTCCCAAATGGGATCTACCACTTAACCTATTGGTAGATGGCAACTCTGTACCCGATCCTTTGTGAAGTATGTGGAATGCACAATTAATTTCTAACCTTATTCTATGTTTTTTAGATAGCGGGCAATGCAAACAAATATGTTGAGTCCATTTTAGTAACTATTGTATGAATGTTGATGTCTTGTGTTAAACTTGTTTGTTTTATATTTGAGTGTTATCTATTATCAAATTCTTCAACACCTGAATTAGAGCACTGGTATATGCAGTGACCTGGAATGTTGTTGACATCACAGCTGCTTGATAGATTGTGGTCTGATTTCAACTCATGACCTGGACATTTTTGTAACTGCAGTAGTGATAGAATGTATCATTGGAATAATTATGTTGAACCTGGTTCAGGTGATTGTAACTAATAGTGGTTGTCAAGGTAGTTAGAAGTACACAGTCTGTGTTTAAAACCCAGATGGCCTGTTGTCTTTGTTTACAACTGACAGTGAACAAAGGAAAAATGTACTTGGTGAAGCTTGTCACTATCTGTTTGGATGTCAGTCCTTGAAGGGTGTTTTGGATGAGAATTAAGACCATATTAGACATTTTCTGTTTCTTTTTGTTCCTTGCTGCAATGAAAAGATATATGATGTCTTATAACACCCACTCGACCTAAATGTACAGCTATAAATAATGTTCATATATATATGTGTAACCCCATTGGACAATTCATTGTAATTTACCACTGCAGCGCATTATGTCGAAGCAGTCTTTAGAACTGCTTGCTCCTTTTTCAGCAGGGAAGTTGATTTGACATATACATATATTTTGATGACTGACCATATATTTATATTAAAGTTATTAACATTTTTGTATTTTGCTACCAATCATTGTCTTAACAGTTACAAACCTGTTTATAAACCTCTATCTGGAGCCTTGTTCTAGTGAGATACTCAGTCAAGCATGTCTCATAACCACAAACACAACCAGTATGCCATGTTTTTGTTTTTTTTCTTGGAGAAATCTGGGTTGTGGTTTGTTTACCTGACATTCTACTGGCTTCTTGAGTGATACATGAAGCAAAACCCTTCTCTGACACATGGGACATGACATTGAATGTGATGTTGATGTCAAGCAGAAAGGCATGTGGAGTTCTTATGGTTATTAATTAATTGATGAAGACAACCTCATGCAATTCTGTTTGAAGTCTTTTGCGTAATCTCTACAGGATTTATTTATAGAAGTATTTAGATTAAACTGAGAAATCAAAATGATAATTCAAAGTGATTTTTTTAAAGTTATTAAAAATTTGATATGAAATGGCCTAATTTATCCACATTTTACCTTAACATTGTATCAAAATATTCATTAAAAAATTATAGTAAAGCATAATCTACCTGTAACTAACTGAAATAAGCTTGTATGTTATAAAAAGTCTTCAGAGATCATTTTGATGCTCTTCCTTTAAAAAATGAAGATGCCATAGACAGAATATCTCTTTGGAAACAGCCAAGAAGTTCATCTACAAAATAGAGATGTAATATGGCACACTAATAACTTAACAAGAGCTTCTTGTGTAGATAAAAGGGAAATGGTCTTTAATGAAAAGCTATCTTTGGCCATTGTCTCCCGTCGGCTCCCATATTGTGTACATGCATGGCTGAAAAGGAAGAAAGTAAGAGT